CAAATCTGATGACATAATTGTTTTTAATTCTCGTGAGGCTGACAAAGGAGTGCAAGTATCAGTGCTTTCTTCTGTTGGTTTGTGCTTGTACTACAGCCATTTTCAACCTGTGTTTTCTTGGAAGAAGTGTCTTATAGCTGCTTATTCAATTTGCAATGGTTTAGTTAAAACTAGATAACGTAATAAATGATCCACAAATCTCTTAAGTGTCTCATGTACCCTGTAATGTCACAGTATTCTTAAAGTGAACAAGCAGACAGCAAATTGGTACGATAACCTGTCATCCTGCTGCAAGCAGTAGAACTTGTACTCTTCTCTCAGTGCAACCCCACACTCTGCAGTCCTCCGCTCTACCAGCTGAGCTATCGAAGGCACGTGCAACCCCACACTCTATGTGCAGCCAGGACATCACTGTCAATCCGTGTGTGAAATATGAGTAGCTTCACTTGTCAGATTGAAAACATGAACATGAATTACGTTTTTCTCTAACATACCGATGTGTTGTGCTGCATGTCGCTTAGAATGCACAGACACTCCCTCTCCACTTTGGAGAAACCTAGTTTAGGGGATAATCTGTAACTCTGGGGTTATCTCTTTTCCTCCTCTTTTGTTGAAGCATAATTGGAAAAAAATAATGCTAAGGTATACAGCATTATGTTTATATAATATTTATATTATATAAGATTTTTTATTCAATTATGTTTATATTGGTATTATATACTGTATTTGTATTTTATATATAGAAACAAATAATTACTAAAATCAAGCTAATTAACATATCCACCACCTCTATAGTTACCTTTTGTGTATTTGTGTGTGGTGGAAACATTTAAGGCCTACACATTTAGCAAACTTCAAGTATAAAATTCAGTATTACTGACTGTAGTCCCCATGCTCTACATTAGATTGCCGCATTCATCATATATAGCTGAAACTTTGTACATTTTGACCATCATCTCCCCAGGACTTCATACCCCTGGGCTTTTTTTAGATTCCACAAGTAGGAGAAACCACAAAATATTTGTTTTTCTTTGTCTGTCTTATTTCACTTAGCATAATGCCTGCTAGGTTTATTCATTGTGTTACAAATGTCAGTATCTCTTTTTAAAGACAGTACAATAGTCCATTGTGTGTTCACATACACATATATAAGTACCTCATATTCTTTGTCCACTTAACCATCAATAGGCACTAGGTTGGTTCCAAATTTTGGCTGATAGAACTAATACTGCAATGAGCATGAGACTGCATATACAGCTTTAAGATACTGATTTAATTTCTTTTGTGTATATATAGATAGATAGATAGATAGATAGATAGATACAGCCAGAAGTGGGATTGTTGGATCATATGGTAGTTCCATTTTCAGTGTTTTTTTGTTTGTTTTTGACAGACAGAGTGGACAGTGAGAGAGAGAGACAGAGAGAAACGTCTTCCTTTTGCCTTTGGTTCACCCTCCAATGGCTGCTGCAGCCGGCGCACTGCACTGATCCGAAGGCAGGAGCCAGGTACTTATCCTGGTCTCCCATGGGGTGCAGGGCCCAAGCACTTGGGCCATCCTCCACTGCACTCCCTGGCCACAGCAGAGAGCTGGCCTGGAAGAGGGGCAACCGGGACAGAATCCGGCGCCCTGACCAGGACTAGAACCCGGTGTGCCGGTGCCGCAAGGCGGAGGATTAGCCTAGTGAGCCGCGGCGCCGGCCCCATTTTCAGTGTTTTGAGGAACATATCAGGGTAACTTCTATGCCGTGACTTAGAATCCTCTGGTTATGATCTAGTGCATGTGGGAGGTGGGAGTGAATCTGGCAGACTTGACTCTAATAGTTCTTTTCTAATAATGAAGTTTGTGAAAACCTCTCTCTGTGTGAGATTTGAGCGGGCACCTGGCCTGACTCCCATGATGTGTGGGATGTTGTGAACACAATTAAATCTCTTAAGATGCCACCAGATGGCTGTCTTAATTTTTATTATCTCCAAGATCTTAGGTGCATAACTACAGGGAACAGAATACAAAATCTCCATTTTTTTCTCTCTTCATTTTGTTGCCATACCTTACAGTTCTAAATTAGCTTTTAAAAGCTTTATTGTTCCAGTGAGACTATAAAATGCAATAAGATCCCTAGATACCAAATGCAATTAACTGAAATCCTTAATCAGAAATCCGTGCGGCAACTCATCTTTGAAGAAAAGGAAACAAATCATAAGAAAATTGAAAGATTTAAATAATTTTTTTTTGACAGGCAGAGTGGACAGTGTGAGAGAGAGAGACAGAGAGAAAGGTCTTCCTTTTGCCGTTGGTTCACCCTCCAATGGCTGCCGCGGCCGGCGCACCACACTGATCCGAAGGCAGGAGCCAGGTACTTATCCTGGTCTCCCATGGGGTGCAGGGCCCAAGCACTTGGGCCATCCTCCACTGCACTCCCAGGCCACAGCAGAGAGCTGGCCTGGAAGAGGGGCAACCGGGACAGAATCCGGCACCCTGACCGGGACTAGAACCCGGTGTGCTGGCGCCGCAAGGTGGAGGATTAGCCTAGTGAGCCGCGGCGCCGGCCTAAGTAATTTATTTTAATACAAACCTCCCAGGCCAAGTTGTGGGGTATGTACAGACTTCCTTTCACCTGAACTTTGTCCTGTCGGGCAGGCATCCACTGAGTCCGTATTATACCAGAATCCATGCCGGGCACATCCACATTCAGCTTCTCATTTCATTCTAAAAAAAAAATCACAAAACAACAGCACCTTCGAGGGAGGATTATTATCCTTACATCACAAGAAAGGAAATAGGCCCAGAGAAATTAAGTAATTTTCCTGTGGTAGAATTCAAACTCCAAGAAATAGACTTCTTCCACTGAAAAACTGTAATCTGTAATATTATTTTGTCTTACTTTGTTGTCAAATTATTTTCTGACCATACTAGGTATTCCTCTTCCATTGAAAATGATGATTTCCAATGGTCTGCCCGCAGCCTGGTTTGTTATTCTTTCTATACTTTCCTGCAGAGATTGCTACCGCCTGAGACTTCTGTTATGTTGTTGGTGGATGACTCACGTCAGTTCCGTATGTCAGTGGCCATATATTTAGCCTCTCTGAGTCTGAATCCTCTGTCATAAATTGTGGCTAGTGATATCTATCTTACAAACCCAGGGTGAGGATTAAATGAGATAAAGTACCACATTTTAGGTGCCCAAGAAATGATAGGTGATGTCTTCCCAGCTCTTCAGTCTCAGGTTGTCTACCCTGTGGATGCGCCTTTGAATATGAGTAAATCTGGCTCTGAAACGCCACCACTTTGTGCTGTTTCTCCATGTAGACTGTTCCTCCTGGCTGGCAGTGCATGGCCCTTTCCATATACCTTTTGGTATTTTCTCAAGTAGTAATGTATATTTTACGTAGTAGAAGTTTGTTAAATATTTTTTCAAATGAATTATTAGAATAATCACCAATATACTCCAACATAAGGAGTTAACAAAAAAAGTTACATCTACATCAAAATAGGCTCCGTGTTGATAGCTGTTGAAATTAAGTTGTAAGTATAGGATTTGTATTACTGCATTCTGTTTACTTTTATACATGTTGGGATTTTACCCAAAAAAGGAATTTTAATTGTGAGCCAAATACTTACTAAGTAGATTAGTACATTTTTAAAGCTTCAAAAATAATTGAAAAGAGGCCTTCTTTTTTTAGTTAGTGCTAATTAATTCCAAAGGATTATTTCTCATAGTTTTAAGTTTGTGTGAGATTATTTATTATAATCCCTAAAGTAACCTTTACAATAGTACAAAGAGGTACAGCTAAAATGCCAATAGGGAAATTTTAAATAGAACATTAACATTAAATTAGATCCAAGGACCAACCCATACATGAAAATATTAATAAATTTTACTTCATCGAAAATAAAAACTTCTTCAAGACAGTATTAAGAAAATAGATAAATCATAGGCAGGAGAAAACCAAACATGTGAAAAAGATCTTACGTCCAAAATACATTAAAAAACTATCAAAATTCAACAATAAGAAAACAACCCATTTTAAAAATGAGCAAAATACCCAGTCATTTCAGCAGGGAAGATATATGGATGGCAAATAAGCATATAAAGAGGTACTCAACATAGTCACTACAAAAATGAAAATTGGGGGCCAGGGCTGTGGAGCAGCAGGTAAAGCTGCCACCTGCAGCACTCGCATCCCATATGGGCCCCAGTTCAAGTCCCGGCTGCTCCAGTTCTGATCCAGATTCCTGCTAATGTGCATGGGAAAACAGTGGAAGATTGATTTAGTGCTTGGGCCTCTGCACCAACATGGGGGACCCAGAATAGTTCCTGACTGCTGGATTCAGACCTGATGCAGCTGATGCAGCCATTTGGGGAGTGAACCAGCAGAGGGAAGCTCCCTCTCTCTCTGCCTCTGTCTAACTACCTTTCAAATAAATAAATTTAAAAAGCAAAAGAAACATACAATTTAAAACTACAATGCCTAAAACAAAAATTTTCAAAAGCTGGCAATACTAGATGTGAAACAAATAGAATTCTTTTACATTACTATAGAAAATGTGTGAAAATTCATCAAACAAAATGGAGTGGTAAAGAAGTGGAAACTTCCGATCGTCAAGCCTGTTCCAGGAATGATCTTGCAGAACCAATCCAATGAAACAGATTGCCCTCTCTATAAGACTGCTTTTACTTAGCAGTAAAATGGTCTGTCCTGCCAACCGTGACTGTACAGCTCGGTTTACATGGGAGCTACCACTACTGGGAAGGAACAGCTTGCCCAGCTCCCTCAAGCGTGGAAAGTGTCTATGAACTTTCCTTCAGAATAATGCAGGTAGAATTCTCTGTTCTAATACACCCCAACCTTTCTTTTGTTCTCAGACATACCAGAGCCTCCCCCCACCATCACCACCAAACCTGTGCAGGTGTATCCTAGATTGCAATCTTATTCCTTATTCCTGAATAAAAGTCCCTTTATTGGAGATTCATTTCTGTCTTTTTTTTTTTTTTTACACTGTTTAGATCTGTATAATGGCTTGTCTCACAGAGGAGACAATACCAGACTAGGTTAGACTTCCTTGCTATAACAAGCTTAAACTGTGACAGTTTTAATAGTCTGCTACAGAGAACTGCTTGCAGTCATTTCCATTTTTTTTTGGCTTTGAGAGAATGCAAAAATGGTAGCTCACTTTTTTTGAGACAATTTGACAGTTCCTTATAAAGTTATATACACCTACCATAGGAGCCAGTAATACCACTTGGAAAATGAAATTGAAGATGTTATTTCAATGCAAAAAATTATTGAAATATATACATATAAGAAATCCTCAAAAAGACCATGGAGATGTGAATTGTAGAACAATACACGGAACTCTTCAACAAAGTTAACTTATCTTTTATTTGTTTTTTCCATAAACTTTTTGAAGTGACCTTTTATTAGCAAATCAAATTCAGCGATATATATATAAATATAAACATTTACATAAATAGAGTACTACATCATGATTAAGCGAGAAATATCCTGGTAATGAAACATTAGGTTAATATTTTTGAAGTTCATATAACAATAGAACAAAAGGGAAAAGTATAATCATATAGATGTAGAAGACACATTTGACAAAATTTAACATGTTTTTATTTTAAAATTTCAACAAATTAAGGATAAAGGGAAACTATTTCACAAAAAAAGTCTGCAGATTACATCATTTAATAGTGAAATACTGAACATTTTTCTCCTAAGTTAAAGAACAATGCATGGTTGTGCACCCTCATCACTTCTATTTACATTGTGCTGGATATCCTAGAAAGTGCAGTACAGCAAGGAGGCAGTGATGGGAAGAACATAAAGGTCAGAAAAGAAGTAGATGATTTTTAAAAATGTTTTTAATGATTTTATTTATTTATTTGAGAGGTAGAGTTACAGACAGAGATAGAAAGAGAGAGAGAGAGAGGGAGAGGTCTTCCATCCGCTGGTTGGAACTTGACATTTCACTCCTCAAATGGCCGCAACAGTCAAAGCTGAGCCGATCTGAAGCCAGGAGCCAGGAGCTTCTTCCGGTTCTCCCACGTGGGTGCAGGGGCCCAAGCACTTGGGCCATCGTCCACTGCTTTCCCACGCCATAGCGGAGAGCTGGACTGGAAGAACAGCCGGGAGTAGAACCGGCGCCCATATGTTATTCCAGCACTGCAGGTAGAGGTTTAGCCCACTGCGCCACAGCATGGCCTGTAAATGATTTTTATTTGCAAATGACATATTGTCTATTTTGTTTTTTTAACTTTTATTTAATAAATATAAATTTCCAAAGTACAGCTTTTGGATTACAGTGGCTTTTTCCCCCCATAACTTCCCTCTCACCTGCAACCCTCCCATCTCCCGTTCCCTCTCCCATTCCATTCACATCAAGATTCATTTTCAATTATCTTTATATACAGAAGATCAATTTAGTATATATTGAGTAAAGATTTCAACAGTTTGCACCCACACAGAAATAACTGTCTATCTTGAAAATCCTCAGCAGTGTATAAATCAACTACCAGGAATAATTGAATATAGCAAGATCACAGAATACCAAGAAGGCCAATATACAAAAACCCCTGTATTTCTATACACAAGTATCAACAATTATAAAATCAGTTTTTAGAATGCCATTTATGGGGGCCAGTGCTGTGGCATAGTGGATAAAGCCACTGCCTGCAGTGCCTGCACCCCACATGGGTGCTGGTTCTAGTCCCAGCTGCTCCACTTCCAATCCAGCTCTCTGGTGTAGCCTGGGAAAGCAGTAAAGGATGGCCCAAGTCCTTGGACCTCTGCACCCACATGGGAGACCTGGAAGAAGCTCCTAGTTCCTGGCACAGTTCCAGCCGTTATGGCCAACTGGGGAGTGAACCATCGGATGGAAGACCTCTGTTTCTCTCTGCCTCTCCTTGTCTTTCTGTGTAACTCTTTCAAATAAAATAAATAGATCTTTAAAAAAATGCCATTTATGTTTTCACAAAAATAAGACACCCTGGAATAAGTTAAAATATAGGGAGACCTCAGGGCCAGCGTTGTGGTGCAGCAGGTTAAAGCCCTGGCCTGAAGCTCCAGCATCCCATATGGGTGTCGGTTCTAGTCTTGGCCGCTCCGCTTCCTTTCCAGCTTTCTGCTATGGCCTGGAAAAGCAGTAGAAGATGGTCCAAGTCCTTGGGCCCCTGCATCCGAAAGAAGCTTCTGGGTGCTGGCTTTGGATCGGCACAGCTCCAGCCATTGTGGCCAATTGGGGAGTGAACCATCGGATGGAAGACCTCTCTCTGTCTCTATCTCTTTCTGAAATTCTTTCAAAGAAAAAAAAATAGGGAGACCTCTATACTGAAAGCAACATAATTTTCCTCAGAGAAATTCTAAAAGCCTTAAGGTAAATAGAGGTACAACATTCACTTTTTAGACGTCTCATTATTGGCCGGCAGCACGGCTCAATAGGCTAATCCTCCATTTGCAGCGCCGGCACCCGGGGTTCTAGTCCCAGTCGGAGCGCCGGATGCTGTCCTGGTTGCCCCTCTTCCAGGCCAGCCCTCTGCTGTGGCCCGAGAGTGCAGTGGAGGATGGCCCAAGTCCTTGGGCCCTGCACCCATGTGGGAGACCAGGAGAAGCACCTGGCTCCTGGCTTCAGATCAGCGTGATGCGCCGGCCACAGCGGCCATTGGAAGGTGAACCAACGGCAAAAGGAAGACCTTTCTCTCTGTCTCTCTCTCTCTCTCACTGTCCACTCTGCCTGTCAAAAATAAAAATAAATAAATAAATAAAAATAATAAAAGAAGTCTCATTATTGTTAGGATATCAACTTTCTCCAAAATGATATGTGATTCAATGGGGAAAGCAAAGTTTTCAACATATAGTGGGAGAAAAACAAACCTTGACATTTCTTCACATCTTATACATAAATTAGATCTAAATGTAAAACTAAGCCTTAAAACCATATGAAAATATTAAGGGAACACATTGTGACATGGTGGTAAGCAAGGGTGCTTAGAATAAAGAAAGCAATTATGATTCTTCAAAACTGGAAAGTTATATTTCATCAAAAGTAAAGACTTCATGGAGCAGGCATTGTCATGCAGAGTTTAAGCAGCTGCTTGGGACACCCGCATCCCGTATGGGAGTGCCTGGTTTGAGTTCTCACTATTCCACACTTCTGAACCAGCTTCCTACTAATGTGCCTGGGAGGTAGCTGGAAGATGGTCCAAATACTTGGCCTCCTGCCACTCATGTGGGAGACTGGATGGAGTTTCTGGCTTCTGGCTTCAACCTGATCTAGGCCTTGCTATTGCAGGCATTTGGGGAGTGAACTAGCAGTTGGAAGATAATTGTATTTCCCTCTCTCTGTCACTCTGTCTTTCAAATAAATCTTCAAATAGATCTTTAAAAATTAAAGATTTCTGCCCATTGAAAGGCATCATCAATAAGCAAGCACACAGAAAAATGCATTTATGACAAGGATCTTGTTTTCAGAATATCTAAGGAACTTTGACAACTCAATAATAAAACATCAAACAACCTAGTTTTTTAAAGCAAAAGTCGGCAGAAACTTAGAATCTCCTCACTGGCTTGTGAGAGCTTATTGTTATTTGAAGGTGAAGATGAAATCATCTCTGCTACTAAAATTTCTCATGAATTTTCCCAAAGCTATATTTACAGAATGTACTTCTGAAAGGCGAAGGTAAAGATTTGTTATGCTATTTTGTTTAAATTAAATGGATGGCCGGTGCCGTGGCTCACTTGGTTAATCCTCCACCTGTGGCGCCAGCATCCCATATGGGTGCTGAGTTCTAGTCCCGGCTGCTCCTCTTCCAGTCCAGCTCTCTGCTGTGGCCCGGGAAGGCAGTAGAGGATGGCCCAAGTCCTTGGGCCCTGCACCCCATAGGAGACCAGGAGGAAGCACCCGGCTCCTGGCTTCGGATCGGCGCAGCACCAGCCTTAGCGGCCGTTGGGGGGTGAACCAACGGAAGAAAGACCTTTCTCTCTGTCTCTCTCTCTCACTGTCTAGCTCTGCCTGTCAAAAATAAATTAATTAATTAATTAAATGGACAACATTTTATGTAGCAAAAGTACTCTCAGAATGCTAGAAACTAACCATCATTTGGGGGACTCTTTGGGGCTTAATTTTTGTTACTTCTACCCTTGGGATGAAAGGTCACTGATTCTATTTCAGAGCTCACAATGATGAATAGCAATGAAAAGGAGAGTCATTGGCCAAATTATGCCCCTCAAAATATCCAAGGAAATCACAATCTGAATTATCTTCATTTTTTCTCCTCTAAAAGTACTCATTTTATTGCAGAAAATATGTACCTAGAAATTCAGGTTATCTTTGAAGAATCTTGCTTATTCTAAATACTTAAATAATTTTATTAATGGATTAAAATATGTGGTTCATGACAAAGTTATGTGACTCATGAGTAGGGCCTTAACTAATTTAATGTCTGACGTGGACCCTGTTCTCATCCCTTTTATATCAAAAAGATACATTAAAGTATAGTTCACAATACCTGTAGAATTTCAACTCAAAGCCATGTTGTATTGTGAACTGGATAACAGAAGAAATCCAGCCTCTCTTAAAAGGAAATACAGAATCCGGATTCAACATCCAAGCCTGTATTCAATGTGCTGAGACATGGGTCTTCCTCTTTCATAACTGACTGAAGTCTCAGCATCCTCTGTATTCCTTACATGTGGTGGTTTTTTTTTTTTTTTTTTTAATCAAAATGGCTGGCACCGCAGCTCACTAGGCTAATCCTCCACCTTGCGGCGCCGGCACACCGGGTTCTAGTCCCGGTCAGGGCGCCGGATTCTGTCCCGGTTGCCCCTCTTCCAGGCCACCTCTCTGCTGTGGCCAGGGAGTGCAGTGGAGGATGGCCCAAGTACTTGGGCCCTGCACCCCATGGGAGACCAGGATAAGTACCTGGCTCCTGCCATTGGATCAGCGCAGTGCGCCGGCCGCAGTGCGCTGGCCGCGGCGGCCATTGGAGGGTGAACCAACGGCAAAGGAAGACCTTTCTCTCTGTCTCTCTCTCTCTCACTATCCACTCTGCCTGTCAAAAACTAAAAAAAAAAAAAAAAAACAAAACCAAAACTAGCTGGTTTAAAACAAAAACAAAA